ATAAAATTATAATGAACACATAAGGGATAGTCTATTCATATTGATAAGCTATAAAGAACGATAGTTAGATCAGAAGTTTAATATAAAATAATAACCCTATTTGTTATCATTTAAACTTATATATATATATATATATATATATATATATATATATATATATATATATATATATATATATATTATATATATATATATATATATATATATATATATTTTGAGGGAGGAGATCGTCTGAGGTGGCGGTCATGAAAAGACTAAAATAGTGAAAAAACTATTTTATCTTAAGCCCACGTTTCTAGCCGAGTTTGCAGGTCTTCTTCGGGGACTTGTATGCAGCAAGGCGTTTTGGTTGAAACTGAGTTTTGAACTAAAAGTTAAAACTTAGTTTCAACCGATTTTAAAAATATTAATTCCCCATCTCATCAAACTGTTTATCTATTTACTTTAAATTAAATGTTTATCTATTTAATTTTATAACGCACTAAAAACTCATGAGCGTGACATGACCATATAGTTCACTTAAATCGTATGATAATTATAACATAATTCAGTAAAATGGTGGCCTAAAAAAATATTGGACTGTTTGGCGTAACTTCCATCCCAATATGTCAAAATAACGAGAATATATAGGCCCAATATTTTTGAAGGCCACCTTTATTCTCATTTTTACTGATCAAATTATCTTACGACTCGAGCGGAAACCAATAACGTGTGTTCATGGGTTTTTACTACCTAATTTAATTATAGAAAAGTCCCTGTTTCTGAGAATTTTCGTAGATAAAAAAGTTTTAGATCACGATAAAAAGAAATCACACACGAGGCTTTATACGAGTGTTTATAATTTGATATGAAGGGGTCTGAGCCGCGGACTAATAAGTGTTAAGACAACAAAAAAATATTACCTGAAACCTAGAAAAATATTAATTTCGAAAGATTTATGTAAAAAATAAATAAATGAACAAAAGAACCAGTCTGAGTTCCAAATAAAATATTTTCATATCTTAATATTTGGCAATGGAAGTCGAAATACACCTGTTATTTGATTTCTCTTCGCGCGGAAAAACAAATTAAATAAGACATCGCGTCTTGTTGCATATTGCGAGGAAAAAGTAAACGAAATGCAGGATCTAAAAATCACCGAGCAATTTATATCCTTCATTGACGTCAGATCCCCTACAGGCCCGAGTCTAAGATTGCGAACTATTCATAGAACCTTTATATTGAACAACACCAAAAAGTCAAGTTCTTTTTTGATAAAAACCGCGCATATATCCAATTTTAAATTAAATAGAGGATCACAGGATTTTTTTGTTTTTACGCATCCAAAAAAAATGTTTAAACATACCGTTTATTGACTGAATCGTTCGGAAAGAGAAGAGTTTCACGAAATAAAACAATTAAATTGAAATAAACATTCTCTTTGAAGTCGAAAATAAAGTTAATACTACATCATTCGATAATAATAGCTTATTATTATATTTTTTTTAATGACATTATTATAAACATTTTAATGAAAGGATTTTTTTTTGTTATTATTAAACTTAAATAAGGAAATTATTATAAGCTCTTATATAATTATGCTAATACAAGTATTTTTATTTAAATAAATATTTGTAAAGGATTTCAGTAGAATAAGTCCACCAGTGATGGACATAGCTAAGGTTTATGCACCAGTGATGGACATAGCTAAGGTTTATGCACCAGTGATGGACATAGCTAAGGTTTATGCACCAGTGATGGACATAGCTAAGGTTTAAATTTAATTTAAATTTAAATGTTTGGGTATTGCCGCCGTAATTAATATAGTTTTGGACTTCTTCATTGAACATTTAGAATCTCTAGAGCCTCCACTTCCTTTTTACCTTTTTAAAATTGAAGTTATGCAGCTGTAATCTCTATTTAAAAAAAACACCTTTTTGCACTACTGATGGACACCCACGAACTTCAATTGTTCTAGTAATGAACGGAGGATCGGTAACAGTAATGGACATACCTCAGAAAAATTCTAAAATTTTATATAACTATAGAGATAAGGATAAATAAAAGATAACATAAATGTTCAACTTAGCAGTCTCAGCCAAATTGTTAGTAGGAAGGTGTGTAACGCACTAATCTCATGAGCACTACAGAAACAACAATGATAGGCATTTTAAAATTTCCTTTTGGGAAATTTATTCATATAGTTGTCATTAGAGGGTATTGTTCTCCAATCTAGAAAAACTGGAACCTTTAAATCATTAATTAAGAAGCTTATTATTTACATTTAAAGTCCAACCTGTTTACTGGGCTTCCTCTCCATAATTGGTGCGTTCACCCCGCTTGGTTTATTTTTAGAAGTACATATAATTTATTTCTTAAAAGTCATATTAAGTAACATTTAAAAAAATAAATTAGCAAGTAGCTAGATGAATTTCCCGAATGTAAAATGGTGCACTAGCAATTAGTCAATTATTTTTTGAACTTTAATAAGGGTCTGATACAGTTATTGAGATTTCGCATAGAATAATATCGAAATTCATAAACGTTTTCTTGAAAGTAAAGCTCTATCAAAATTGGACTAATTTTTAGTGACTTTTTTTCATAAATCAAAGATGGAATCACAGTAACATTAAAGTTATTAATTTATATAGCATAAAAATTATCATTATTTGATTATATGGTAAATAATTTTTGGTTTGCATTTATCTGAAAATCGACTTTTGCGCTTATATATATATATATATATATATATATATATATATATATATATATATATATATATATATATATATATATATATATTACATTATATATAATATATATATTATATATAATTATAATATATATATTATATATTACAGTAATATATATATATATATTATATATATATATATATATATATATATATATATATATATATATATATTATATATAATTATAATTATATAATATATATATTATATATTACAGTAATATATATATATATTATATATATATATATATATATATATATATTACATTTTTTAAATTCTAAGCCTCTAGAACAAATTTTTGCAGTCAATCACAGTTAATCAATCGCTGACAACTGCAAAACTTCGTTCTAGAGGCTAAGAATTTAAAAAATGTAATATATATATATATATATATATATATATATATATATATATATATATATGTATATATATATATATATATATACATATACATATACATATGTATATATGTATTTTCTAGACAGAATAAGTAAAGGACTTTTTATAATTTCAACTATTTTCTTCTATTCCTGCCATTTCGGTCAAGTTGGATACAAAATATTAGAAAGAAATTCAGCAGAACGATTCATTTCAAAATTCAATTCAATTTTCTTATGGTAGGTATTAAAGAAACTGGAAAATGTTTTTAGTGAATGGAATCGATAGGAAGTGCAACTGCCAAGAACTCACCAGCCAACAACATGCATAGCCTTTCGTGTTTGTCAGATATATAAGAGCACCCAGCACCGAGGAGTTAAATAGATCTTTTAAATATTGTTGTCATTCCGCACATCCCACTCCACTATTCAGCAATGCCATCGTGTGGTAGATGTAGTCTCCTCTGCAGTGGAGCGCGGAATGTACTGCACGGGAGTCTTTCTCGACGTTGAACAGGCGTTTGATAGAGTCTGGCACTGAGGTACAAACTCCATAAATTCCTACCACCTACATACTTCCTCATTATCCGTTCCTACCTTACTGACAGATACTTCAATGTTAATCATAACAATGCTTATTCATCTCTTTTTACTCAGTCTGCCGGTATTCCTCAAGGTAGTATCCTAGGTCCTATCCTTTACACAGTTTATACAGCTGACATCCCAATCCAATCCAACACTGTCATCACCACCTATGCCGATGACACGTGTATCCTATCAGCTAATAACGATCCATCTATTGCATTCCAAACTCTTCAATCGCACATCACAAGCCTTGAAAAATGGTGTCAAAACTGGAGGATTAAAATAAATCCCATCAAATTACCTTCACTCTTCGTCGTAAACCTATGACTTCCTGTCCTACAGTATCCTTCAACAATAGCCCTCTTATCCCTGTCGAACAAATCCGATACTTAGGACTCCACCTTGACAAACGACTCACTTGGAACTCCCATACCAGACTGAAACGACTAGAAACCGCCCGACGTTTTCGACTACTGCAACACTTACTAGACAAACGATCTAAGCTTTCAATCAATTATAAACGACTCATATATATGACAATAATAAGACCTATTTGGACTTACGAAATTGAACTTTAGGGCTCCACCATCGAATTTCTCTCGTATCCAATCTTTACAATCCAAAATCCTCAACGCTCCTTACTTTGTCACAAATAAAATCATCCATAAAGACCTTAATGTTCCATATGTTTCCGATTTGGCCCAATCCAGATACCTGTCCTTCCATAACAAACTGCAGAACCATTCGAATCCTCTCGTTTCAAACCTTGCTTCCTCCTCGATCCCTGATAACCCTCCGAGGCGTCTGAAAAGAAGATGGCTTCGGGATCTTCTAATATAGAACTTTAATTTGAGTTCTACCAATGGGTAGTTTCTCTTCATGTTGTACATGTCATGTTACCAATTTCACATTTACTTATTGTATTTTCTATGTAATACAGTTGTAAATTGCATTAAAATAATATAAAAAAAATATATATATATTTCTGTCATGGAACGGTCCCCCTCCCCCAACATTTCTTAAGTGCTGGCGGCTAAGGTCAGCTAGACGGATTAAATTCAACAGCCTGGCATCCTTCTGAGGGAATCTTTACAATTTCCAGGACAGTAAAATGAACCTCACTCGAGATGTAGAGATTTAAAGGTCTTTATCAAGCTTAAGACAATTCGAAAATTATAATTTTAAAGAATTCAAATATTTCTGAGACTGAAAAGTTGTAGCTTTCTCGACATCCAGAATATTCGCTTAAGAACCGAGTTAAGCCTAAGTTAATTTTCCACCGTTCCATTTTCGGTCTGACATTTACTCATAAGTGGTCTTTCCATTTCCTAAAATACTGTAACAGAAAATAGCCGAAGCTGCTCTTCTCGTCGAAGATCGGCAGGTCAAACGGATGCCGAAAACCAGCTGGAGCCAGGACTAACCTCTCGGGTCGTCCCACTTCTTTCACTTTCATCCGACCACTTTCTGAAGCTGTAATATTATTATCATAACAAACGAGCATCCTCCTGCTTTCTACCTCTTTGTGTAACCGGGACATTTTTTAAGGGTAATGTGTCCAGCGAACTTCGTTCATCGAGTCCTCGTATTTTCTGAGGATTCTCTCTTTTATTTTTATTATTATTATTTTTTTTTTAGAGATAGATTAATGGACGAATTAAAAGTAAAATTTCACAAAACGAGGAAGAGAAAGTGGTAAATAACAACAATCACTTTTAATAGTAAGACGTATACAATTTATAAAACTCACTAATTTAAATCACAACTTAGAAATAAATTATTAAGAATATTAAAAATACAATGTCATCAATACAATTGTAAATCACATCGAATAATTAAATTAAATTAAAATATCATTTATTATTTTCTCTGAACCAACAAAAATTAGGATAAAATTAGTATGTTAAGATGAAGTAACAAAGTGATGACATTTCTCTAGCTAATAATTTCTTAATAAATAACTTTCATATTTATTTTTGTTTCATAATTTGGATTGACTATTAGAAAAATATCAATTTTAAATTTCAATGAGGAAATATTTATTGTACATAGAGTGTGAATGAGCTACTCTTTAGTTACTATTATTAGTGTCCTTGGATGTGACAGATTGTAATATTTCTCAATAAAAAATTGTATTGAAAAAAAAGGAAATAATTTGTGCTAATTGATCATTGCAGAAATATTATATCTAATGTATCAATGTCCTATAAAATATTTTGGGGATATATTAGTCCTATGATGAATTTATTTATTTCATTTTCATATAAATACCATATAGTTTTCATGAATGATTGATAAAAAAGAAATCGTTTTATTAACAAAGCAAAGGTGATTGGGAGGGCGCTAAAAAAACACGCAAAGGAGTAAATTACACCACTTTAGATTTAGCTAAACAAAACGAGATACAGAACAAATAAACAAACAAATAAAATTAAAAACATTAATAATAAAATTATATAAATTAACAATAAAACACAGTTGAATTTATGAGGAAATAACTGCTTTGAATAACGAATTTCTTGATTCATTGTTTTGTATTTAATATTCATATTTCAACTAAAAATCACACCAATCCTCTGTTTCTTTCTTTTTCCTACTCCCTGTCACCTGAACGACTCAGATTAAAAAGAAAATGGCAAAGAGACCTACTATAATAAAGACATCAATTAAAAAATCAAGCAAATACACCAAAACTATATAAATACAACAAATTTGCAAGATGCATAAGGTATCATATAAAAAAATATAAATATAGTTTTAGTCTGATATTTCTCTATATTTTAAAATTCTAATGAAAAAAACAAAAAAATCAATAATGATTTAAGGGAAAGTTTGAAGCACCGTTACTGGTCATGTTTGGATTCTGAAGAGGATGCGTCAGATTGCCCGAGTAATATGTAATTCGGAAAGTGAAAAGCTCCCAATCCCTTTATGGGTTAACTTTCTATAGTTGTTTGGATCTCCTTGTGTAGGCTACATATTATTTCCTATTTAGTCTTGCTATGGAAAGAAAAAGCTATGGAGCTCTACGAAGGATCTCAAGTACCTATTAAAATGATTTCTCACAACGATGTATAACCCAGGCTGTTTGGATGGTTTAGGAATTAAATATGCGATCTCATAGTAACCTCCATATAGAAAACTTAAGATGACATGTGTTCTCCGATTCCAACGAAACGTTTTTTGGTGATACTAGGTCGAAAAATATTAGACCTATGTCCGAGGGTTCTTGACAATACGCCCTAGGAGCCTAACAATAAAATATTAAACGTTAACATTTGTTTATATTATTGTTTTTTTTTCTATGCTGTGCATGGATTTGTGGGTTGCAATACATCAATTGATTGTTTTTTAGTTGTTTTTTTTGTATAAAATAAGAAGAACGTGTTGCAGGTTGCAAAAGGGCAATAAATTGCAAAAACCAAAAGATACTGGCAGAAAAGTAGGCCGAGTAAATATTTGTCATGAAAAAGAAAATTTAATTTCCTTAATAGCATCCTTTAAAACTCTTTAAATATGATTTCTTTTAAAACAAAAAGTACCCCCTTTTTACCCCATGTCCCGTAGCCTTCCGATAGACATCTAAACCAAAATTAATGATAATCTTTTTTAAAGTTATAAAGTATCTCTAATTTTATATAACAATCTTTATAATTTAGAATAGGTATTTAGCAAACAACGTCATATAAGAAAACGCTGCAAATTATTTCACAATGATTTATTATTTCCTACAATTATACATCTAAAGTAACACTACCTTTCTAGTGACAAAGAAAAAGAAATAAAAGGTGATTCAAATTATTGGACTAAACTTATCTAACTTATCTTATATCTATTAACAAGTGTATACTTTTTGAGTTATTTGGAATCTAATTTTACCATCCCTTGTAACTTTTTTCCTGCTTCTTTTCGTTGAAATATGTCATATAGATAAATTTAAAAGGCATCGAGTTATGTTCGTTTAGGCGCTACAGTCAATAGCAACGCAAGTTTTTCGGTACCATCTTGAAAGGAAAAGGCGGATAGAAATGTCAATGAAGGAGGATCATCCTCGGGTGACCATTAATTTTAAATCCAAATTTAAAAAAAAAAAATCGGTCCAGTAGTTTCGAAGAAAATGCGCGGACGGACAAAAAAAGTTTTATTCGTTTTTTGAAAAACTACATAAGATTTTTTTCAGCACAATAATGTTTATTTATAGATTATTTCATCTTATATTTGATCCGCATGTAATAGGTCATAAAATTCCTTATCTAGATAGTTTAAGTGATAGATTATACAAAATGAAACAGAGCAAATTTAAAAACTTTGCCAATCCTATTTAAATCGTGTAAGCACAGAATCTTTGTTATAATAACCTATTAAAATTTGTATTATATAAATTTTATACCGTTGGGGTAAATTGATTCTTATCTTACCCGGACATTGTCTATTGTAGCAGTAAAAAAAAATGTATTTCACCGGCCATTAATAAGAAACGGACTGCAAGATGCTATTCAAAATTATTCACACTTTGAAATATTATTCAATATGAGGAAGCGTAGTTTTTCTAAGCAGCTAGAAGGAGAAAAAAAGTAAAAGAAAATTTCGTAAGAATATGCAACGTCACATTTCCGAACATAATCTACAAAGCATAGTAGTAAACATACCTTCATTAAGTTTTAGATACATTTTCTTTTTTTCACCCTGAGCTTTAAGAGAGAACCGTATTCAACATATTCTTTTGAGTTGGCATTACTGGACGAAAGAACGGAAGTCATAACAACTGAGCTAAGTGCGGATGTGGGTAGCGATCTCTATTAAACTGATAAGAAGCTAAGTGAGGAAGCCGGCCATTTTGTGCGTAAGTAACATTACCGTTAAGCAAACATTTGTCTGAATAACAAATATGACCATTAAAATTATTATTGTGTATAAAAACAACTCCATATCTTTACTCTGATCATAATTCAGAGTAAAGAAATTTAAAACATAAATTCGGGAAAAGTTAACAAATTTCATTTTATTCTATCTTGTATTAATTTTTCAGAAAGAACCATATAAGGGTCACGTCGTGTGAATTATAAGGCGCCTGGTAATCATCCAATGATCACTCCATTTTTTTTCTTAGGAAATTTATGAGTATAACATTCAAAATGAAAATAGGTATTTTCACTCACACACACACACAAATAAACCTCTATATATATATATATATATATATATATATATATATATTTAAACACTTTTTTTTTCTAGTCAAAATCTAAAAAAAAAAAATGTTATGAGGAATTATTTCAATTATGAGATAATGACATTGTTAGGACGTAAAAAAAATTGGGAAGATAGTTGGGGAAAAATGAAAAAAACAATAAAAAATATTGGACAGATCGCTTAAGATTCTGATTTATGCTAGGTATGAAATGGATGATATTTTGAATTCCACAAAAAACTTAATTCCCTATCTCATCAAACTGTTTATGTATTTACTTTAACTATCTTAATATAACTTTTTATATCATCCCATCTCCTGAATAATTTAATAAACCAATATTATAAGAAAATTCAAACATGATTTTATAATGATCATAAAAATACAAACTTTAAAATCTGATGGAGGGATAGAACTTATAATAATAATCAACGGATAGGCTGTAAGGAAGTGGGGAGTAAAAATTAGACTTAGAAAAGCATTTGTAATTAATTATTTGGTCACGAATATCATTCCGTGATCAGAAAGAGACGCAGATCTTATACTAATTCTGAGGGCTTGCCCAATCTTTGGCCAAAGAAAAAAAAAAAAAAAAGGAGGAATAATAAAAAAATATTCGAGCAAAAAGTTCGGTATTTTTTCGCAACGAGTATTGTTTAGAATAAATAACAAGAAATAAAACATATAAATTTTGAAATGTTAAATTCATTAAAAAGTCTTACATAGGAAATTAGAATAATTAGTATTAAATTAAAAAAAAATGACAAAAATTGAATGTTTGTATCATGTCTTTTGTTCTAATTAACTGAAATGTTGTTACTTATTCTATTTCAAAAATGTTCAATGATAAGAATAAATTAATAAAAAAAAAATCACTGACATTTTTCACTTTTAAGAAGTCCAATTTCTACAAATAAAATAAAAGATCACATATATTTTTAAAAATACATACATTACCACTGACGGACAACTTAAGGAAAGTTTTCATAGAACTTACCTGAAAGAAAAAAGAAAATAATTGTTAGAAACTGACTAAGGAAAGTAAATGCAATTACATAAATTATAATGCAGTTGTACATTTTTTTATAACAACTCACTATAAATTAATGTAAATGACCATAACCATCTATTTATAGTCATACTTTAAATAAATTATTTAATACGAATAATTTGAATTTGCATTATTGAATTTTTTTTTGTTTTACATTATACTGTATCTCTTTTCATCTATAATTTAAATATTAAATTCGATTTTTAATAGTATGTTAAAATACAAATTTCGAAATTCTCTAATATGTAACAAAATTATTTTGCACCCGTTTCTTTTTTTTTCGTTTACATGCGATGAA